ATCGTAGTTATTGGCATTTCAAGTTCGTTCTGTTGGTTTCTTATTTTAAAATAGAAATAATTTTTGTGGGAATTGTATATGAACTTTTATAGAGGTTTACTGGCACGAGCAATAATCCAAGCTCAGGCTTTTTCTCCAGCCTATACTAATGTATATGCTGCGCTAGTGGCTGTTATTAATAGCAAATTCCCGGAAATAGGAGAGCTAATTCTGAAGCGTCTTGTAAATCAGTTTAGTCGAAGTTATCAACGAAATGATAAAGCGACAGTTGTAACGATTCTGAAGTTTTTAGCACACCTTGTCAACCAGCAAGTGGTAATTTTTTTCTTCTGTTTTTTTTTGTTTAATTCTCTGCACATTTTTTGTAGCAATTTCATTTACAGGTTCACGAGGTACTGGCGCTTGAATTGGTAGTGTTAATGTTAGGCAACCCTACTGAAGATTCTGTTGAAGTCACAGTGGCGTTTTTAAAAGAATGTGGTGCAAGGTTGAAAGATGTTTCCCCACGCGGACTGAATTGTTTGTTGATTATTCTAGTTATTATTTGTTACTTATCTTTATAAACAAGCTGGCAGTGTAGAAAATTCTTGTTTTCTATTCTCATTTATTGTTATGTAATTTTCAGTTTTGGAAACTAATGCTTTTTTCAAACAGTTTTTAAATCAGCAGTTTTTGTCTTTCAGCCGTTTTTGATCAGCTGAGAAGTCTTCTCACTGATTCTGAAATCGGTAAACGAGTACAGTTTATGATTGAAGTCCTCTATACAGTTCGCCGAGATAATTTCACGGTAACATTTTAAGAAGAATTTAGTCGGATCGGTTTCTGACGATTTTGAGTAGTAGTTCTGGTCACTTAATTGTTTGGGCTGATGTGATTCTTTATTTTTTAATTTAATTTACGTTTGTTTATTTCTTTCCAGGGCTATCCTTCAGTGATAGAGGAGCTGGATTTGATTGACGAGGAGGACCAGATAACTCATGAGATAGGGCTTCTGGATCAGGTGGATCCTGAAAGAGAACTTGGTAAGTTGGACTTTTCTTTATTCAATCGCTTTACTGTTTTAAAGTTTTCAAGCCATTTGTACATCTCGCGGTATACGCTGTTGTTTATTTAGATTTACTTGAGGGCCAGTACTTTTTTTTGCCTTAGCTTTGGAAATAGTTTTTTCCTTGTTTATTGTGTGCTGTATGGATTGTTTTAGACGTATTCAAGTACGATCCCGAATTTGAGAAAAATGAGGCGCAGTATGACGAAATCCGTCAAGAATTGATTGGAGATCCATTAGAATCATCTGATGAGGAAAGTGAGGGTGAAGGAGAAGAACAGAGTGAGGAAGAAAACGAAAAAGGTGAGTACTTATGTCACCCATTGACTCTTATAATTTTTCAAACAAATAGCTTAAATTTGAACTCTAAAAAGTTCATTGCTCTGCGGCATTGACAATTTTTCTGCGAAATGCACAATGCTTCACTGTACTTTGTCAACGGTCTTTGAAACTAGCTGTTTTTAGGTCAACAAGATACGCTAACAATAATTGACAACACTGAACAAAACTTAGTTGCTTTTCGAAGAAATGTCTATTTAACGATTCAGTCATCCTTAGACTTCCAAGAAGCAGCCCATAAGCTTTTAAAAATTGATTTGAAACCAGGAGAAGATGTAAAGTTGTTTTGTAAATTCACTTCCATCATTTATAGAACGGATGATTCAGCTGCGGATTAATTTTTAGCTCCCTATTTTTTATTTAGGTTGAACTCTGCAATATGATCGTAGATTGCTGTGCTCAACAAAGAACCTATGAAAATTTTTACGGGCTTTTGGCTGAACGATTCTGTCGTCTTCGTAAAGAGTTCCAGGATGCTTTTGAAAGGATTGCACGTGACACATATAACACGATTCACCGTTTTGAGATTACTAAGTTAAGAAACATGGCAAGGCTCGTTGCCCATTTACTGTCGTCAGATGCAATTTCATGGAACGTCAGTTATTTGTCGCTAAGATTCCTTAGTTTTGTTTTCTACGCATACCTCTTCAGATTTCTTAGGACGACTTGTTACAGGTACTTGAAGAAATTTCTTTGAACGAAGACGATACGACGTCAGCTGGTCGCATATACATAAAAATCCTTTTCCAAGAAATAGCCGAATTTGAGGGTGTTGAAAAACTTATGGAACGTATTCGGGACCCGTAAGACTTCTGCTCTCTGTTTTAAAAACCTTTTTAACTATGATTTTCGCTGTTATATTACAAAATTTTCTGGTTGAAGCAAAATTACATAAATCTCTTCGTTTTTTAGGACAATGCAGATTGCTTTTGACAAGATATTTCCGCGCGACAATCCTAATCATACGCGTTTTTCTATCAACTTTTTCACTTCGATCGGTTTAGGATACTTAACGTATGCCTTTCACTGCAACTTTTCCAAATTTGATTATTTCTTTGCTTTTTGTCTTTAAAATTAAAATTTGTCTTTAAACTTTTAAAATTATTCTAATTTTAATGACTGCTTTAACCTTTTATTTCGCTTCTGCTATATTTTCAGTATGGATTTGAGAAACCACTTAAAGCAGCGAACTCAGAAGGAAATAAATGACCTTTCAAGTTCTTCATCTTCTTCATCTAGCTCCAGCTCAGACTCCGAATCCTCCAGTTTAGGGTCAAGTTCTTCTGATACTAGTGATTCGTCAGGTTTGCCTTATCTTTTCTTGGCTTTGATTTCGCTCCTCCATCTGGGTTCTTGTAGCAGTCTCTAAAGTCATTCTTTTGCAGACAGTGACAGTGATAGCGACGAAGACGAGGAAGATACACGCAAGAGGAAGAAGGATGATGATAGGAGTAAAAACAGAAATGAAATTCAAAAAAAGAAGAAGACTGATGACGGTATGAGAGGTAAAGAAGATGCTCATCGAAGGCGGAGAGAAGATGATCTTGATAAAAAAAAGAATGGTGATCATAGGAAAAGGAAGAATGGCGACAGAGATGTAGGCAGGAGAGATGGCGTTAAGGGTGAAAGGGATCGTGAGAGTCACAAAAAAAGAGCTGATCGCAGCGAAGACGAGAGAGATAGGAAGAACGGTGATGATAGGCGGCGAGTAAGGGCTGACGACAAGAAGAGGGGTAGGGATTATGACCACCATAAGAGAAGAGTAAAGGATGATGAACATAGGAGGAAAAGGGCAAGGAGGTCTGTGTCCTGATAAATTACTGCTACAAAATTTCTTTTGAATGATAGTTTTGTGGATGTACAGAGCATTGTGATAAATTTTTTTTTGCTGTTTTTTTAAGCTACTTTATCATCTTCTATGCATGGGTTCTATTACTTCTCTAGATATATTTTTGCTGGAGAAAACATAAATATATTGCAGAAGTTGTTTGGGTTAGGTTGAGACAAGTGTGTTTTTTAAGTGTTGCACCCCGCTACTGTTGTGTTTCAAACGAATTTTAAATGTCTAAAACTGCTATGAATTGCCATTTGGAAGAGTACTGCTAAGTGGCGTAGAAAATTGGGACAGCTGAGAGTGTTTCATACATACACTTACGTGTTCAGTAGTTTAGTGGTGATGGGCGAGATGAGAAGTCGCGTACTGCGAAAGGATTATAGTATTTCTCTGTTTATAAAAACTGAAAAGTAACGGTTTTATAAAAAAAACAAACAGCGGGATTACAGAAGCATGCTACGTAAGAAGTAATTTTGGTACACGTAATTTCCAGCTGAATACTCCTAATGAAAGGTGCATGCATGCCTTTTTTTGAATTGCTTTGATTTTTCATCATTGGTTAGTGTAGTTTTGGGATTTCATTTCATAGGCAAAAGGAAAGCTGAATGCAAAAAATTCTTTTTTTGATTTTAGCCGAAAGTATTGTAATTTGCTAGTCATGCCTTGTATTATGTGAGGTGAACTGTACTTTCGTATGGGGTTACGCAACACTAACGTGTTGGTGCTATATGTGACTTGACAAAATTTTTGTGGGAGACCTCTCGCTAAACTTTAGTTCATTTCTGTTCTTGTTGTCATGGGTAAGCTGAACTGTGCGTCTGTATTATAGGAAGTGTGTCATCTCTGTAACTGTAAATATAAAATGGCTTTGCATTGGGGGTACCAAAGTCTTTTTTTATGTTGTACATAGGGAGTTGTTGTCAAGTTATTTGGTTGTGGCTTTTCTGTTTAGTTTGGTGGTAATTCATTTCTTTTTCGAAATGAAATGATTTGTGGTGAATCTTCAGCTATATTGGGGTGTGTTATTATAGAGCAAAGTGTTGGTGGATCTACGTTGTTTGAGTACTAGGAAACTTGTGGGGTGTCAGGAAAATCATTGATTTAAAGTTTTTAAGATGTAATGGATTAAACGAATAAATACTTCTATAAGTTTCTAGAATAGTGTAGCTGTACGACTGTTTGCTTATCGTTGGTTCAATGTGATATATCGAATACAGCAGAAGCTGTTACCCTAGAGGGTCGTGATTTGTTGTTCATACATTTACGGAGTCTTGCTCGACTGAATCACTGTTACAGGGATGGTATTTTATAACTTAGTCGGGTTGTTAGATCTTGAGTTCGTTACCTTTAAATTTAAGAAAAAAAAAAGAGCTTTATTCAAAAAAATCTGAAGTTTTTGTTGTTAAGAGTTATTTCGAGGTTTGAAACGAAAAAACTACACTGTTTCTGTCGATAAAGGGTTTTTAGGTGACAATTAAGTAGGAAAACAGGACGGCCCATTTTCGTGCGATATAGAAGCTTTTATACACGACTGCTAGCACTGTTAATAGAAAGTTTATAAATTATACGAGTTGAACAGTGTACAAGAAAATCATGGAGTTTATGACTGCAATTTGATTTCCGCGATCATCTTTCTACAGGACTTCTTTCATTTGCTTTGAGGTCTTGGAACTCTCATGGTTACGTAGTATGAAAAGATGGTTGGAAAAATGAATGCCATACACTAAATAAAATATTCGTATGTTTTAATGCCCTAAAGCAGCAACTACTTAAGGTTATTTTTTGAAGTTTTGACCAAATAGGAAAAAATTTTCTTATGCAGTTAGAATTTTTGGGATAGTAGGGAAAAAAAACGAAAGATGAAATGAGAAACGAAACAATAGTGTTTAGAGAAGTGGTCAGTGACAATTTAAAGTAAAAGTGTTTGTGATTGTTACCTAAATTTTTATTACAAACAATTAGAAACCGACATGAATAATATAACTTTTTGAGCACACATTTTGGAATAATGTTTTCTTACTCTTCTTTGGTACTATGCGTCTTGAATATGATTAAAGAAAACTTGGTTTTGAATTTGTGTCGCTTTTAAATTAAAGAACCGTACGAAATTTCTTACCTAAAAACCTTATTAATTTTAATCTTTGCCAGTAATCACACCAGCTAAGTTCTGTAATAAGCGATAGTATTTAATTAATATCAAGTGATGTAACGCTGGTGCTCAACTTTTAGCGACGTTACTCGTGGCTAATGACAGTCTTTAGAACATTGATCTCGTCACTAAGCTATTAGAGTTCACACGTGACGGTTTAAAAAGGTGGGAGTAGTATTTTGAGATTATCAGTGCAACTTAATGGTGCGTTTTATAGCACGAGTCACGCATAATTTCTCGCCAGCACAGCAACAAGTACAAGAATAACAGCAAGTTAAAAATGACTTTGATGGTATCTCTAACAATAAGTATATGTTGTGCACAATACGTTATGATTGCAACGAAGTTCTAGTTCTTAATTTGCCACTCACTCTGTACATGTTTCTTATCCACTTTTCTCAAGAAAATCTTATTGGAAAGTTGACGTCAAAAACGCTGTCGGTCCATATGAAATCTCATGGGGAAGTTGACGCAAATACGTTGCTGCAGCACGAATGCAAGCGATGATCATGGTTGCTGAAATGCCATTTGTGTTACGTGGTTCAGAATGGCACTTACGGTGCGGAACGGGGAAAGTGTATCTCTGTTTGTTTGTATTGCTAAAAAAATTTAATATGAAAAAGGTTTCGTAAGACCATGTTCTTGTTTCACGTCTCACCATGATTTCTAGTTTAGCATTCAAAATGTAGTCTAGCAGAAAACTTGTTGTAGAATTTTTAACCGTTATTAGCACTATCTTAAAGCCCAAACCTTTGAAGCATTTGATATTTAATAGAATGACGACCCAAGACAAACTTCAGCTACGTCAAATTAAAAATAGTTTTTCATATAACTGAGACTCCAACTGTGGTTATCTAGTTAACTTAGACATGCATAAAAGGAATTACGAAATGTTTCCTAGAAGAGTTTTTCAACCTTTTTTGTATTATGGCTGTTCTTTGGTAATACCATCATGAATTTTAGATCAAGATAGGCTACAGGTTCAAATAATAGACAGTTCCTGCTCAAAAGCGAAATCCGTAGTTGTTAGCACATTTAAAATTAGTGATATTTGTTCATTTTTACTTTCCATTCCTTCTAATTCTCTGGAAAGCTGCTAGTTATGTAGTCGTCTCCACCTTTTCTGAAGGTCGTGAAAAGATCCTATGCAAGTTGGCATATTGAACAGCACTAAATAGAGTTTGAGACGCGATTTGTTACACGCAACAAAATGCACTGAAAAAAAGAAGTTACGTCACAAGTGTTGGTCAACGAATGAAGAGAACTTTTTAAAGCGTGATTTTATTAGTAAGAATGCACTGACTTTTGAACGCAGGCCTTTTCTTGCTTAACTTTGAGCAAGATTTGGACGAGTGTTCAATATGTGGTCTGCTAGGGGCCTCAAGCGAGCATTCAGATAAAAGAACTAATGAGCAAAGTTTACGATTCCCTAAATTCAATCGTCCAGCATATGTTGTGGTTTCTATGACTTAGAAACAGGTGTGATGCATCCTCTTTGAGTTTGTAATTTTTCTCAAGCTTTTTAGGTATCTTGTAGTCTGTGAAACAAAAATAGTGGTTCAAGAATAATACAGTAAAATTTGGAAGTATTGCAACAGTCTGAAGCCATTTACATAATAATGATTTTTTCCATAATTAGTCTTCTTTAAACAAGCCAAAAAACGAAGCATTCGGCAACTTTAAAGAAATCTTATCTTCGTTGTTTCTGGTTCGTCGACTGCGCCATATTTTTGATAGAAAACACTCTCTTTAACTGTAGAATTCTATTACTTTAACTAAACCTGTTTCCTTCGTTTTAAATCCTTTAATTTACCGACCTTTTCGCAGTGTCGAAATTTTTCTTGACAAAACTGGGGAAAGTTGCTTTACTGTCACCCAGGATGACTCTAATAAAACAAGGTTCTGTTTTGCAGACTTAACAAGACTTGCTTTGGTGGAGCAATCGAGTGATAAAGCAGAAAATGTTTTAGTTGGATTTTTGTAATACCGGTCAGTGTTTTATAAAATTAGTGGTCGGTATTTTCTATAAGGTTAACCTTCATAGCTTGCGGAGAGAAAGCTAAGTCTAGTTAACTTTGAAATAATGTGCAATTTTCGAAGTTACCTATGTTTAACTATAGATTTCAGTATTTATTCTTTAGCGTTAGTAATTGGTTTCTGTTAATAACCTTTCAACCCAGCCTTGTTTATAACTTGGCAGGAATTATTAAATCAGTTATAGGTAGAACCAAGTACTACAGACAGTTGTATAGTAAATAAGCATGGAGTTTAAAGAATGCAGGCAATGGTACTCGCTTTCCTAAGCGTTTACACCATGTTCTTTTAATGGTACTTCTGTTACTCCAGCAACTCTTGATTTGATTGCTCTGATAATGCACACGGTTTAGCAAAACGAAAAGAAGACACAAGCTCCATCTGAGACCTGTTAAAGTTTGTTTTCTGGACACTTTTTTTACAACTGCTGTCTAATTCAGTTCAAAATAACTTTTTATTCAAATCATTTGCTAGATCTAAGGGAAATTGTCCATTAATCAAATATATTCAAAACAGTAGAAAATATGAATTTAAGCAAAGCATAAAAAAGGATTTTGGCAAAATTTTATTTATCCAAGTAAAGAGGAATAGCAGTAACACAGTAAAAGCCAAGGTATACTAAATAAAAATAGTTCAAAAATTAACCTAAGCCAACAAATGGCTGTCGTTGGTTCTGACGAAAGTACATACTACAGTTGCCCGGAATGCTTATTTCAGGAGGATTAATTGAAGAGGAATGCCATCATTGTGAACTCAAAATTTTTCAAAAAAAAAAAAAGGAGTAAGAGTGGAGCAGGAGTTTTTCCCACTGCGACGGTAAGCAGTACTTTCTTGTTTGTTCATGATGACTGGTCTGCTTTTGAATTTGAGCTCAGGACGCTTTGGTCTTAAGCACGATGTTGTGAGGATCGAAGTTGTGGATACGTAATGTTCATAAGTCACTGCCAGAGAGATTTTGGATTTAAGTAACTCTTTAGCGGTTGTGATAGCTGCGGAAAGTGCGTTTTTTGTGTTTCAGTGACGTTACGTAATTTGTTCGTTGAAAGGTCATCTCTTTTTTTCCTGAAATATGAAAAAACTGGAGTTCTTTTTACATACTGCTGTTAAGTGTAACACTTTTTGAAATAAGTAGTACATGAGTAATGCTAAATAGTTGGATTGTAGGCAAAAGTTATGAGTCACTTCGTGTCAGAAGAAAAC